TATAGTATTCAGTGACACATCTCATAATGGTTTGGGTTGTGTATTAATGCAAGAAGGAAAAGTATTAGCGTATGCATCGAGACAGATGAAACCACATGAAAAGAATTACCCCACCCATGATTTAGAAATGGCTGCAGTGGTGTTCGCTCTCAAGATTTGGCGTCATTATTTGTATGGAGAACGATGTTACTTGTATACAGACCATAAGAGCCCGAAATATCTGATGAATCAAAAAGAGCTTAATTTGAGGCAAATGAGGTGGGTTGAGTTTTTGAGAGATTATGATATAATAATTGACTATCATCCCGGAAAGGCTAACGTGATAGCATATGCTTTGAGTAGAAAGACGTTTGCAGCTTTACAAGCTATGGATGCAAGGTTATCTTTGACTGAAGACGGTGGTCTATGTGAAGAGTTAAAACTTAAACCAGTATGGTTGGAACGAATATGAGAATTGAAAAGTAAAGATGAAAGGTGTTTAGAAATAATTGAGCAAGTAAAGAGTAAAGAGATTAAAGACTTTGAGGTTAAGTCGGATGGAAATTTGTATTATAAAGGAAGAATTGTGATACCAAATGATGAAGAATCGAAGAAAGATTTATTAGCAGAGGCTCATTGCAGTCCATTGAAGATGCACCCAGGTGGAACCAAGATGTATATGGATTTAAAAGATCGGTATTGGTGGCCAAGGATGAAGCGAAGCATTACTGAATTTGTGTCCAAGTGTTTGATATGTCAACAAGTTAAAGCTGAGCATCAAGTTCCGTCAGGATTATTGCAACCGCTTTACATTCCTCAATGGAAATGGGAAAATGTGACGATGGATTTTGTTTCGGGGTTATCCTTGACTCCGAACAAAAGAGATTCAATATGGGTAATTATTGATCAATTGACTAAGTCAGCGCATTTCCTTCTGGTTAGAATAGATTTCTCTATGGAAAAATATGCAGAACTGTATATTAGAGAAATTATTAGATTGCATAGAGTGCTTGTTTCCATAGTCTCTGATCGAGACCCTCGATTCACTTCGAGATTCTGGAAATCTTTGCATAGAGCGTTGGGAACTCGTTTAAACTTTAGTACAGCTTTTCATCCTCAGACTGACTGGCAATCAGAGAGAACTATTCAGATATTGGAAGATATGTTGAGAGCATGCGTAATGGAATTCAAAGGATCATGGGAAAAGTATTTACCGCTGGCAGAGTTCGCTTACAACAATAGTTATCAGTCCAGTATAAAGATGGCCCCATACGAGGCATTATATAGGAGGAAATGCCGTACTCCATTAAATTGGTATGAACTCAAAGATCGAAGTGTTCTTGGTCCAGATTTAATTCAAGATGTAGAAAAGAAAGTTCGAGAAATTCAGCATAACCTCAAAGTAGCCTCTGATGAGCAAAAGTCCTATTCTGATCTTAAAAGAAAAGAGATTGAATTCGAGGTTGGAGATAAAGTTTTCCTTAAAGTATCTCCCTGGAAGAGAGTATTACGATTTGGTCGGAAAGAAAAGTTAAATCCTAGATTTATTGGGCCATATGAAGTTGTTAAGAGGATAGGACCCGTGACATATCAATTATCTTTGCCATCAGAAATGGAGAAAATTCATAATGTTTTCCATATGTCTATGTTGCAGAGGTATAGGTCTGATCTCTCTCACATCATTGCACCAGAACAAGTAAAAGTCCAATCGGATCTGACATATGAAGAAGAGCCTGTGAGAATAATGGATTATGAAGTAAAATAGTTGAGGAATAAAACTGTTCCATTGGTCAAAGTTCTCTGGAGGAATCACAAAGTAGAGGAAGACACGTGGGAACGTGAAGAAGATATGCGTTGTCAATACCCTCATATGTTCGTGCAATAAAAATTCGAGGAAGAATTTTCTTAAGGAAGGGAGATTTGTAACGTCCTCCATACCGGGTTAGTGATCAAATTGTGAAATTTTAAAATTTAGTGACCAAAGAAGATAAATTGAATGGTTGAAAGATTTAATAGGAATGTTTCATGTATGATGGATAAGCAGAGAAGGGAAATTAAGAGGGCAAATGAGTCTTTTAGTAAGAGAAATAATTAAATATTCCTTAAGGTTATTTTATAAACCACGTGGAAAGCATTTGAGAGAAAATAAGGTTCCAGATATTTTTCTCTTCTTCTTCTTCTTCTCCAACCGTAAGCTTGCAAGCAAAGGTGAGTTGTCTTCTTTTGGATTAATTCTTATGAGTTAAGCATGGTTTTGGTTAATGAAGATTTAGGAAAGATGATGGAGAGAAACAAGGACTTAGAAACTCAAAGAATTCTAAGTTAAGGGAGATTAAAGGTTGAGAGCGACTGAATGAAATCTTGGATTAAAGGTCATAATAAGAATTAGAAGATGGATTTGACTTGTCATCAAGCTAATTAAGAAGTATGAGGTGATAGAATTAAAATTAGAACAAGTTGGAATTTGAGTAAGATTCTTAAATTCTATATGGAGGATTGGTTTTTTTTTAAGTTTCAGAGGTATTGAATGGATAATAATTAGTTTAAGTAAGAGTATGAAAGTTAGGAATATTAAAGGGAGTAAAATAGGAAGGTTTGAGCTGAAATGAGATGATTTTCGAGCTCAAAATAGGATTTCTGGGCTAGGGGAATCGGTACCCATTCAAAGGGAATCGATACCCCCTCAAACGAATATGAAATTCCAGAATGCCAGAGGGGAATCGATACCCCCACAGTAGGGAACCGATTCCCCCTAAAGAAAAAAAAATAAAAATCAATTCCTTAAATATTTTTAGGCTATTAGAAGTTAATTTCAAGACTTAGGCATTTGATAATCATATTGAAAATTATGTTTATGTATATATTGAGCCTAATCAAGTTCTGGAACAATCGACAAGTAAGATCGATCGAGGAAAAAATAAAGAAATATAGGTGAGTGCATATGCATAGCATGAATATAGTGTTATATTCAGTTCTAGACTTGTGATAAGTCTAGATTCAATATTTGATACATGATCACATTCCATATTATGATACTTGACATGAATTCATATTATATGCATTATGTGACATGAATATGCAGGAAAAGTTATATGAATTATGTGATAAAGGTATGGAAAATGAAATGTTTATGTGATAAAGGTATGGAAATGATATGTCTATGCGATATAAATTATGTGAATTGTAAAAGGCCATGTTTTGTAGATGAGAACTATAGGTATAGTTGGCATGCCAAGGGTAGAGGGTCTACGCGGTCCTTCGGGATATATATATATATTCTTTAGAACATTTGTGAGGTCTTTTGAGACACATAATTGATCATTGGCATATGTATATGATTCTTAAGGAATTTATATGTGTCCTTCGGGACAAATTCTACGCGGTCCTTCGGGACAAATTTCTACGCGGCACTTCGGTGCAAAAACTCTACACGGCACTTCGGTGCAATTTATACGAGCTGTGGTGACAGTATAGTACACAACCTCGCAATACTGGCGTACCTTAGGTTCTCAGTATGATATCATGGGCCAATAAAATTATTAATACAAATTCGTGAATGCTAATGTAATATGCTTACGGGTAAGGATCATGGTGATATAAACTACATTGATTAAGTATACGATTTCATCTCATTTCATATCATTATGGCATTTTCATTACAGTTCCTTGCTATTATTATTACATTGCCTCACTAAGTCGATGACTTAGCGTGTGAGTGTTTCACGCGTAAGATCCGAGAAAGTAGAAGATAGAGGTTAAGCAGCTAACAACATTACTCCTGCAACTATCAGATCAAAAGCAACCTAATCAGTAGGTCATTTTGTTATGTAAATGGATGTTGGCATGTAACTAAAGGGTTAAGTTGTGTATGCTCCGAGTATTTTGGTAAACTTATATTAATATATGTATATTATCGTATTTTCTTAATATAATTTTAAGTATTTTGTTATTATTTGTTAAGAGTAATGTTTTAAAAAGGTAATGTGACATCTCGGACTCGTATCCGGGTCGGGTACGAGTTGGGGTGTTACAAGCGACGTGAAAAACTATCCATGAACGCATAACAAGTATCCAAATCTAATATGATAGTCCAAAGCAGGGGAGATCACAATATAACATATAAACATCATCTTGATCAATCGTAACGATATCTAATCAACCTTTAGAAAAAGACTAGTGAACACAATGGCCAAACGACCGAAAAACGTGTCAAAAAGTAGAAGAAAACGTGCAATAATGGCATATGAAAATGTACCATATATGAATACTTATTGAAAATAAAAAACCTAAAGAAAATAAAGATGTAATATAAGAAAATAAAACCATAATAAAGAATACTGACGGTCGACAACCAACACTAAAGTTGGTCTCTTTCGATCAATAAAAATAAAAAAAATAGATGAACGACTTACCAATGAGAGAAAACTAAAAAAAAACTATGATAACTTCTAATATGACATTTTAAAATTTGAAAGGATAAATTTAGTGGAAGAATAATGTAATAAAAAACACCCGGCAATTTATTAAAAATAAATATAATAAGATTATAATCCTATGATGTTTGAAATATAAATTTTTATTGATACTTGAGAAATAAAAATGTACTTAGATGTCATCAATAGTTAGTGATTTAAAAGCTTACAGTTAACATCTCTCATTTCCTTTTATTTATGGATTTAATATTCATTAGAAAAAAATATTATTCAAAAAGAATGTATTTAGATATCAAATGTGGTTACTTATCATTAACTTTTCTCATTTGTATTTTTTTCTCAGTAAAATTATTTCTTATTGATGTTTTACTCAATTTTTTAAATTATGATCATAATTATTTTAAAGTTTTTAGATCATTAAATTTTATAATAATATATAAATTATTTGATTGAAATTTTTGAAAATATATTTGTAAATTTTTATTAATAAATAATTTGAAATAATAAGAAGTTGAAATGAAGAAATTTTAATGATATGAAACGATTTTAATGAAAGTTTTGACTAATTATTTTTAAAGTATAAACACAAAACCCAAACAGCCTGCCATGTTGGAAATAAAATTTGAAAAAGAAAAAAAATACAGATAAAAGAAAAAAGGGTCTAATATTAACCACATAACAAATCTAATTATTAAAGAGAGATGAACAATTCCCTATGCTGGCGTCGGGCGGCCAAGAGTTGACTGTTCCTCAAAAGCATGCATCCAGAAGACAGCAACAGCAAAGAGCAGCCAAACTGCAACGCCAACCCAAAATCAAACATTTCCTCCTTTACTAATATTATAATCAAATAATTTACCAAAACGTAAAACTTCTATCAATGTTCTAAACCATTTGTCAGGCAGTTCTGTAAAACTACTCTATGAATTATGATATCAATGACTCATCTTTTCTACTTTTAATTCCAACCATAAACTTCTCTAAGATTTGCCTTGAATTGCCTCTAAAATGTAGTATACACACACGGTTACATTGATGAGGACACCCCCTCTCTCTAAGAACTAGGTATAGTTGTTCATCAATGAATACCGTTCTCATGGACGGATCCCAGATTTTATACTTTAAGGCAAATTTATAAAATTTTAGATGATAACAAACTTATAAAATTTTAGATGATTACTGATCCACCCATTGCCTCTCAATTCATCATGAGAGTTCAAAACGGATACTCTCTTATAATTATTCAGATTATTGAAAAAATAGCTGTTCACAAGAGAACTAAAATAACCAAAACACATCTCCATTGACCGCCGAACGAGAGAATTAGGTATGGGACGTAGACTAATTAACTGCAGGACTTATCACGTTAAAATCCAATTCCATCTTTATCGATAATCACGATGAGCTGTTGTGATTTATTTGTTCACCGAAAAAACACGCGCTCAATTGAATTGCGCGGAAATCATAATTATTCTCTTTTTCGCTAAGCACCAGAACTATCCTTAGATTACTAGATCTGACATATATACCATATACGGTAGAAATACTCATACAATTATACTAAACAACTAAACTTATACGAGTAAAATGGAGATATATATATATATATATAGAGAGAGAGAGAGAGAGAGCGAGAGAGAGAGGGAGAGTACTGACCAGCCCTCTAGGAAACCAGAACTCTGTTTTTGTTGAGGAGGCGGCTGAGCATATTGAGGAGGATATCCCTGAGGCGGGTATCCCTGAGGAGGATAACCCTGAGGATAGCCTTGCGGAGGATATCCCGGCGGTGGATAAGCATCCTTCGGAGGATATCCGTCGGATGGATAACCTATAATTCTCAATCACAAAAAAAAATATTAAAAAAAATCTCGATCAGATCCGCCATACAATCGCAATACACCAAAAACGAAAAAAAAGAGAGTACATAAACAAACAAAAAACCAAAATCTCAGATAAGGAAATAAAGTGAAAATGAGGAGTTTTAGACCTTGAGGAGGAGGAACGCCAACCGGAGGCTGTTGCTGACTGTAGTAACTCATTGTTCGATAGTTCAGAATGAATGAATTTTCGCTGTTGATTTTCTTTTAACGAAACCTTTACGAGAGAGGCAGTTAGATACAGATTGGGGTTAAATAGTGGATTTTCCAAAAGCAGATACCTACTTTCTTAAGATGTGAACGCGTGTCCTCTCCGGTGAAACTTAACGGCTAAGGAAGCGTGTTGCCTAGGTCTCAACCTTCCTTCTGGCCCACCACTTAAAGTTTGAAATCATGTTAACTTCAAATTAGGCCAAATTTAATAAGTTGCTTTTATTATAAAAAAATTAATGAAATATTAAAAAATACTTTTATATATTAATCGTTCAATAAGTGTTGTAGTTAAGTTTAAATTATTAATCATATATTATTTGCATCATAAGTGGTTAGTTATACCGCGTTTCGAATTTTTATTTTGAATAATCTTATCTTAAGATGTCATTGACTTACAATAAAACAGTTCTACGAGATAGGGTGTTTAAACAATTGATTTGATTATTTATCAAATTAAATTAGTCAAAATCGGGTTAATTAATTTTTTTTAATTGTTAATCGAGTCAACTTTTCTTAAGAAATTCATTAATTGAATCAATTTTTTTCATATTATTTTTTGAAAAATTTTATTCATATTAATTTGAGTTTAATAAAGTTATTTTTATTTGGATTAAAATGTAATAGAGTCTTGAAAGTTTAATCACTCTAGTATGGTTAAAACATAGTTGGATTTTAATTTTTAATGGGTTGAGCTTAATATATAATATTAAATAATTAATATTTTCAGTTAATTAATTGATTTTCACCGAATTAATGTTAAACGGATTCTGAAAAAAAAAAACATTTTCTGACCGAACTAATTTTTATTACCAACTGTTTAAAAACTGAGAAGTGAACACTCCTACAAGACCCTTGGAATGAACCCCTCGTATTGTAACTTACCTGATTGTAACAACGAATTATTATGATGGTCATATTTAATCTTGTCATAAGCTTTCAAGATCAAGTTTTATGATCCTAGAGTCATCTAGGAACATACGTAAAATTTTATATAAAAAATGAACTTATAAAATTTTAAAGGGATGCATATTGTCGTAACCGGTTTTCGTCCGGGCACGAAAATTTTACTCGGCGGAAAAAGTGATGTGAATAAATGGTTTTTAAAATGTTTTTGGGAGTCGCCATCGACCTTTTAAGTTAGGTAGGTCGAATACCTAAAAATTATCCTTTTAAAAAAGTTTTTAAGAAAACATCGGTTAAAATATAAACTAATCTGCGTTTAACCAAAAATTCATTCTTTTTAGAAATAAAAAGGGATTCGTGGTCGGTTATATTTAGAGAAGGATTAGCACCCCTACAACGCCCAAAATTGGTATTTTATTAATTATAAATTGTTTCTATTGTTAGAAATTTAAGAATTCAAAGATATATTTAATTTATAATTCTGTTATTTCAAATTTATAATTTTAAGAAAATATATTTATTTATATATATATTTATAAATAAAATATTTATTTATTTAGAAATATCAGAAAAGGACTTCTAGATGCCTTAAGACAGCTCTTTTCTTCGATATTAAAAAATAAATAAATGACTAAAACATTTTTTAAGATAATAAAAAAAATTATTTTAATATAGTAAGATATTTATTTATTTAAAAATATCAGAAAAGGGCTTCTAGGTACTTTAAGACAGCTCTTTTCTTCGATATAAAAAAATAAATAAATATTGTTATTTAAACAAATATATATATATATATATATATATATATATATATATATATGACTAAGATGAAAGAAATAATAATAATAATAATAATAATGAAAGTAATAATTAAAAAATAAAAATAATAATAAAATAATATTGCAAATAAACATATAAAATTAAATTAAAATATAAATAAATAGTGACTAAAATAAATAAAATTAAAAATATATATTTAAAATATAAAAAGCAATAAAGCTTGTAATGAAAAATAAATGAAGATATTAAAAATAATGACTAAATTAGAATATATTAAAATTAAATACCCTAACTCCTAATATTATGAAATATAATAATTAATAGTGTAATTTAACCTTAATTATTTATTCAGGGCTAAAATAAAATTTATAAAATTATGAGGTACTAAATGCTATATTTATCATAAATATATATATATGAATAATGACTAAATTATAAATTAATTAAAATTATAAGGCCGATTTGAAATAACCAGGAATTGCTTTTAGTGACTAAATTGAATAATTACAGAACTATAAGGGTTGCGGAAAGGGTTTACCCTTTCTAAAATTACACAGATACCCCTCCCAAAAACGGCGTCGTTTGGAGAGGGGTATAAAATCCCAAAATCCGGCTCCTAAGAGCCATTCTCTCCTCATTTCTGGTTTTGCTTTGAGAGAGCTCTCAATTTTTCTCTCCGGAAGAGAAAACCGGCCATCGTTGGCCACCGTTTCCGGTGTCTATCTCCGCCGTCGACCACCGTGAACGGTGGTCGGAAATTACCAAACTCACCCCAAATCGAAACCCTTATTTTTCTATACCCAAATCTAAGGTTTTTTTAGCATAAAACCTTACCAATCGTCGTAGATCTAGGATAGTTTCGTTCGACGCTTCGGTTCTCCGGTGGTTCCACGGTGGTTTTGGAAATTCCTCGGTGGTAAGTTCCTTCCTCTTTCTTTTCTGTTGATGGTTATTGTGGGTTCTTGTTTGCTGTCGATGTTCCTCTTTCTCCCTTGCTCTCTGTCCTTTTTTTGTTGCTTTCTCTATTTTTTTTTCGTTTCTTGTTATCTATGTGTCTTGCCGGTCCTCCCTTTTTCTTTACAGGTTTGGTGGTGGCTTTTATAGGCCACCACGATGTCCTCCTTGGACCGGTTAGAGGGTGATAACCTCGGTGAGTCACCAAACTATGGTGGTGACTCACACTTAGGGCTTCAACGTGGGTGGTAGGAGTTGTGGCAGCAAAGCTTCTGGAGGCTTCGGCGAGGCGGCAGCGTCATGGCATTGTCAGAGTGGAGCATCTGGCAGAGGAGGAGTGGAGGCAGCGACGTCTGGAAGATGGAGAGGCAGCTGGGGTCTTTTGGAAGCGGCGGTTGGGAGCTAGGGTTTGAAAACCCTAGCTGAAACCCTAAATGTTTAGGGTTTCCATCTGGACTGGGCCGGTTCTGGTTGGGCTTGGGATTTGTAAGACGGGCCTGGATTGTTTGTATTTGGGCTCCCGGGATCTGGGCTTGTAATAATTATTTAATAATATATATATATAATAATAATAATTATAATAATAATAATTTTAATAATAATAATTTAAGTAAAATGAAAAATTAGTGTTTACAGCTGCCCCTCTTTGCTCTTTCCCTTGTTAACAATAATAGAGCAAAGACGAAAAAACAATAATTTTTCATTTGACTTCTTTTGAGTAAGACTGAAATGTTGAAAACATCATTCCAGAGGTCTTAAAAACATCATGCACTGAAGGGCTTACGGATTACCCGAAGGTTTTGAAAACATCAAAAAGCTCCCGAAGGCTTTTTGAAAACATCATGCACTGTAGGACTTACAGATGACCCTAAGGTTTTGAAAATATCAAAAAGCTCCCGAAGGCTTTTTGGAAACATCATGCACTGTAGGACTTATAGATGACCCTAAGGCTTTGAAAACATCAAAAAGTTCCCGAAGGTTTTTTGGAAACATCATGCACTGTAGGACTTACAGATGACCCAAAGGTTTTGAAAACATCAAAAAGCTCCCGAAGGCTTTTTGAAAACATCATGCATTGTAGGACTTAAAGATGACCCTAAGGTTTTGAAAATTTCAAAAAGCTCCCCGAAGGCTTTTTGGAAACATCATGCACTGTAGGACTTACAGATGACCCTATGGCTTTGAAAACATCAAAAAGCTCTCGAAGGCTTTTTGGAAACATCATGCACTGTAGGACTTACAGATGACCCTAAGGCTTTGAAAACATCAAAAAGCTCCCGAAGGCTTTTTGGAAACATCATGCACTGTAGGACTTACAGATGACCCTAAGGCTTTGAAAACATCAAAAAGCTCCCGAAGGCTTTTTGAAAACATCATGCACTGTAGGACTTGTAGATGACCCTAAGGCTTTGAAAACATCAAAAAGCTCCCGAAAGCTTTTTAGAAACATCATGCACTGTAGGACTTACAGATGACCCTAAGGCTTTGAAAACATCAAAAAGCTCCCGAAGGCTTTTTGGAAACATCATGCATTGTAGGACTTACAGATGTGAGAAATAGTTTACTAAGTAAGAAACTATGAAATTCGTTTTCTTACTTTTCAACAATTTCATTTTTAGAAAAGATTGAATGAGAAACTATGGAAATCGTTTTCTCATTATTTTTCAAAATAACATGTTGATTGGGTAACATGACCCAATCTCAAGATAATGTTCATTCTTGTGGATTGCGTCCATCTATTCTTCAGATGTTGGCGTGATTTCTGCATTCGAGGTTTTGAATTCTACCTTCTTCTTGTAAGGTATTGTTCATCATGAATCTTCTTTTTCATATGAAGATCTGCAAAACCTTATGTTTGAATGCAATCATATGTATCAATGTAATGCCTTTTCTATTGTGTAAATGATATTCTTATGAATGCATGAGTGTTGATGCAATCTTCATTTGACTTCAATGTGGTGAACTAGGTCTTTCTTCACTTCATCATTTATTTCCAGGGTCACCTCTGGATATCAGTGTAGCAACTTATGCTATCAAGCTTGCATTTCTGTAGAATCATCTGATCAATCAGTATCTTTGTGTATTCTTTGCTTCATTTAAGTCTCAGAAGAAATGTTTCATTTGTGGAACTCTTGCCGTAGTCAGAACTATGCCTTTGATGCCCTATTTTATCTTTGGTAACACCGACTTTCTTTGTCTGGACTTGTGTAGTAATCCAATAAAGCTTTCATCTTTGAAAAGAAAATCTATCATCTTTAAAAAGAGAATCTATCATCTTTGAAGAGTATAGATGTAGATATGCATGACTCAGCTGGGATTAATTAGGAGAGTAGAGTCTGTTCTAATTTAACTCTTGAAACACATCACAAGGAAGA